GGGCCGGGGGAAGAAAATACCTCCTCTCCCCGGCGCGTGGCCTCCTTTCGGTACCTCCTTTCCCCGCCTGAGGAGAAGCTCAGGGAAAGCTGAGGTGGCGCCGATCTTCGGGGGTGCTCGCTGGCCGCTTATATAAATGCACGTTGGAAGGTACGTGGAAAATACAGCAAGTCTGAGGTTGCAAACAATAATAATACTGTGTATAGAATGTGCTCATGTGTTATACACACCCACCCGTTGTAACACTGTATATGTACATGCCCGTAACACAATCAAACCCCAGTAACGCAGAGCTCCCTAGCGGGGCCTCTGAAATCTGTCGGCATCAGCTCGGTGTGAATCCAGGACAGAGCGGGGTTCGCAGTGCTTGGTGCCGTACGTGTGTGCGGCGGTGCACGTCCGAGAGATTCCCGTCCCCGACCTGCTGCTGGTGCAGCCTGTGCGGCGTGGGGTTCCGTGGAGCCGCTTGTCTCGGTGTTGTGTTGCTTGAGCTCCGGCGTGTCGGGCAGGGCTGCCTGCGTGTGTGAGCAGTAACAGAACGAAGATGTCAGGGCTGGTAGGAAAACACTGTTATCCACACTATGTTTTTTGGCCAGCACATATACATAACCGTGCAATGTAGTGTTCTCTGCTTTAATGTGCTCGCTTTGCCCAGGAGGGCTCTGAGAACTCACAGCGTTCTTCTGCATGCTTCGGTTAAAACAGTCCAGTACCTAAAGCTGAGAGCAACAGGGGTTTTTTGCACAAATTCATTCCCATATATACTTAGTTGCTGAGTTGCAAGAAACTGGAAAGCAGTGAAAGAAGAGGTTAGGACCGAAATCCACTTAGGTTGGTCATGGGCATAGGGTCCAGATACCTGTGAATTAATGTTTGTGTACTAATTATTATGAACTCATCAGAAACAAATGCAAGAATATGGTATAAGTGGTGTGAGAAGTTAATTAGGCGCTCTCGCTGTGCTGGGGTGCAGGAAATGCTTTGAGTTGTGTTCTTGTCTCGGCCTTTTGTCTGCAGGATGACCTTGGACAAGTTACTTTGGCTTCCAGTGCCTGACTTGATTTCCATGTTTATAGAATGAGGATGCCGGTAACAGCCTCCATTAGAGGAGAGATGGAGCCTCTGAGATCCAGAGATTAAACATGCCTTGTGAAAGCATGGTATTAATAGTTAATAATAAAAAGGGTAGCTTAATGCTAATGTGGGAGTTTATACCAGTGACCCAGAATTTTGTAATTGCTATTTACAGTGCTTGGATGCGTGTTCACGACTCAGTGCTGCCCTTTCTGCTGAGTGTTCAATGCTGGGGAGAGTTCAGAGATGAGGGAAGGAGATAAATAAGTTTTCTTCTGTGTGTGGAAAGCAAGTCACAGGATAGCAGCAAGGCAGAGGGACAACAATATCACAAGAGGGCCCAGAGAGATGCTGCAAGGTGTTTAGATTTGTTGTCTTTATCAATACTCTTTATGGCTTTTCACTGCTATAGATTGAAAATGTCCTGCTCAGCTGGGTGAAGAGATGCAGTGCTTACTTGGGCAAGTTAGGATGCTTGTCTTTAGGCCACATGCAGCCCTGTCTTGCTTGGGAGCAGAATAGCCTGTGGTGGACTGGGTTGGGCTGCTGCTTCACTACTGCTAGTGCCTTCTTGGTGCCTTCAGGACAGATCCAGGGAGGGGAATTTAAGCCATTGGTTTGCCCAGGAGCAGCCTGGCAGAAGAGCCAGGAGGCATTTAAGATGCTTCTGGGGTGATGCCGCTCAGCGCAGGGGTGATGTGTGACTGTGACCTTGTACCTTGCATCCACAAGTGTGCCAGATATGCAGCCTTGGCACGTCAGCTGGTGCGCTGATGAAGGGCAGTAACAAGCTTGCTCTTGTAAGGATGCAGCAAGAAGAACACATAGTTAGCTCAGGAACTTTTTGCTTTGATAAGAAGGTGTTCAGTACACTAGGAGTCAGGTTTCTCAGTAGCAGCAATTGATCTTGCGTTCATTCCAATCACTCTAAATCAACGTCATTTTAGAGGCAAATTTTACTTCAGAATATAAATGCACTACCAGGCAGCCATGCATTCAAAGCACAGGTCCGGACCCCTCACCAGGGTTGACAGTTTTCCGTATGCGACACCTTGCAGGATTGGATCTGTAGCAAATTTTTTCCTGTTTTGCAAGTGTTACGTTCTGCTGATCAGTCCCTGCAGCATGCATGGTGATAGATATGATCCTGTTAAAGGTTGTACAAGGAGGATAAGACCAAACTACTGGCCCCTGTCTCGTGCCCTTGCATCAGTTATACCAACCTGCTGTGGTGTGGGTCTGCCAGCTGTTGCACATGCCCTTGGGGACAGGAGCCAGAGGGGTGCTTCGATACTGTAGCTCAGCAAGCACTGAAGAGCATCACCAGACAGCTGTTCTCAGCTGCTTATTACACTTGTTAATTTGAATGTGATAAGAAAATAAATGTGAATCTTAAGATATGTCCATAAAATAGCAAAACTTAACGTCTATATGCATTTTAAGTATTGCTAGGGTACTATAAGAGAAAAGCATATGGAGCTGATAAGGAAAGCACATCTGGCATACATTTATGGGTAACTCCAATTGTGTTATGTCTGGTTTCAAGCAACAGTCTATCTGCAAACTTTGCTAGACCTTACATTGGTTTTCATCTGGTGGATCAATGAGACAGATGCAAATTTAATAGATTTTCAGCAAGATGCTAAATGTGATCTCACTTGTATTGCTGCTCTGGTTAGAACCCTGCTATTTTTGTGCCTGTATTGCTGAAGTTCTTATTAACGTCTGGTCCCCTGTAGGAACTGGTGTTGTGTTCTGGATTTTTTTTTTTTTTTGGTCTCCAGACTAACAGATGTACTTAAAAATAGGATTGGGCATGATACAACAGTTTGAAGTCTTAGTCCAGCAATCAGCTTTCTTTTGCGGTGCTCTCAGCTCACAGAACCGGTGGGTCCTGATAAAATTCTTTGGTCCGTGGATCTGCAGTGCACGTATGTGCAGTGTGATTTGCACGATGAGACCTGCTAGTCCAATTAGCAATCACTGTGTAGACGTAATGCTTTGAAGGAGTACTAGCTGTGCTAAAATCCCTTTGACATCTTTGTGGTTAAGCTCACTTAGTGTTTCTTTGGGTTCTTTAGCACCTTGTAGGGGTTGTACTTTTCATATGGTGTCAGCAGGTAACAGAAGAAAATTATTAATTAATAGATTGTGTTGTTCTGCTAACCTTCTGTGGATGAGGAGAGACATTAATGTGTTGTTAGTCCATGAGAGACAGCCCCAGTGCACCGCAAGAGCTGGGACCTTCTCGTAGAGGAGCCAAAGGTGCTGAAATGATGATAGCTGCCCTTGAATGTGTTTAATGCGGCCTCTTGAAGGCAGGCAGGTCCCTCCCTGGGGACCGAATGGTCTTTTAAAGTCTTGCATGGGGCATTTTTCCAGGATTTCCATTGTGGTACTTTTTATTTTGCAACTGGCAGTCAGCCCAGTGTGGAAGGTGGAGAAAAATAAACCAAAATGATAATTTCTCAGACAGCAGGTCAATCTCTGTCAAGCCAGGGCTGCAGGTACATAGATATTTATTGTCCTGCATGGGAGGGAGGGAAACAAAAGTGTTCTCTAAAAATACTGGGAAGATGCAATCTGCCTTTTGAGATCCTGGTTTGTCACCCAGGTGCAGTGCTCAACTGGGAGCACAGTCTCCTTTCTTTGCCTTGCTCACTACTTCTGTTACTCCTTGGTTTGACTTTTCAAGTTCAGAAAGAAGTTTTTTAAACTCTTTGGGTTCATATGTTCTACTTTTCCCATCAAACATGTTTTGTTTGTGAAGACCGTGCTGAGGGACTGTTTCAGCAGAACTACATGTTTCTACTCTCAGTGAGGGACATATTGCTGAATTGAAACCGAACAATAGCACTGACTGTGCCCTGTCATTGTGTCAGGCTGTCAGCCCTGTCGTGTTCAGTTGTCACATGCGAAGCCCAGGAAACTGTAATTGAAGCTTCTCCCCTCAAAATTTCTTTCTTAAAAATAATGAGGGAAGGAATTGAATGAACCGGGGTGTGGCAGAAATGAAAAATGGATGTGTGTATTCTTTTTAATTTTACTTATTGTTATCATTGTAATAGTTGCCCCATGTCATACCAGCCCTGGCAACTGGTCTTCATTGACTGAAATTTTCTGTAAAGGCTTGATTTGATTGAGAACTCTATTGGCCTTTTGCATCTCTACCTCATTTTTTTGTTAGTGAAGAACATACAGCTGAGAAAGATGGTCTTAATGATATGAAGTGATGGGAATTAATGATGCAATGAAAAATTTAATGCAATATTTGGGATGCAGGAGACTACTTAGTCTGCTGGTTTTCAGACAGTGCTGCTTTTCAACACCATCAGAATTTGTCTTTCTCTACATTTTCTGAAGGATATCAAAAGGCTTTGCATGCATTCATGCTTTAGCTGTCATAAACCAAGCAGGTAAATAAATAAAAATACTTTTGACTTTCTTAGAATGGATGTAGTGGTTTTTTACTTCCTCAAGATTATGCCACAGACCAGTTGCATAGAGAAGAACAGATCCCAGACTCAATTTCTAATGTTAACTCAGTACCCTCTTTTCCTTACAAATATGTAAAATTTAAATTCCTATATCCTCAATGTATTTCAAATTTCATTCAGTGACTTAGCTAATAATCGTATGTGGATGAGAATGCCCAGCTGGACACTATAAGCTTTACATCCTGCAGCGTTCAAATAAATTTCTCATTTCACTTATGTGGGTTTGGAAAAGAAAGATGTGACCTCACTTCTGTTGTGAAATTGTTGAAATTGTGAGCTGCTGCAGCATGCAATCAGTGGGAAATCATCTTTGGTTGTCTCTCTTGTTTTGTTACCCTTGATACAGGAAGAACTGGTGCTTCTTAATAGGTGGGATTTCAGGGAGTAATGTTTGTTCTTTATTCCTTCTGCCATGGCTAGAATCCAGTTACGGGGCTGCTTTCAGCTGGTACAGACCATAAAGATGCTTGGGTACGGGACAACATCTACAGCATCCTGGCCGTGTGGGGGCTGGGGATGGCCTATCGGAAGAATGCGGACCGAGATGAGGATAAGGCCAAAGCCTATGAGCTTGAGCAGGTATGTCATGTCAAAGTTTGGCATAGACCAGTTACACTGTTTGTTTCTTTCATACAGTAGTGGTTTTGAACGGTACGTTCGTGTTGCTGCTGTCTCTAGCATCTGGCAGGGTTTTCCCAGCTTGGAATGCGTGTCTTGTTCCTATGACAGCAGCATCCATGCAGCGTGTGGTGTGCGGTGTTCCTGGCAGCCTTCCAGCAAGGGGGATTTGGAGAACCGGGTGGCAGAGAGGCTACCATCTGAATTAAAATATAAACAAAACAAAAACCTATAGGAGTCAAACTTCCATCGGTTGGCTGATTGTTGAAAATTAGGCTTCTGAGAGATTTTTACACCCAGATTTACAAGCCTCTGATTAAACCTTGTGATCCCTCATGAGGTGTATTACAGAGCCGAAAATCAAGCCTAGGTTGCTAGGATTGTAGGGTAGCAATTTATCTGCTTGACCATTCTTCCCTGGAAGGAGAAGCCTGCCATTTAAAGTAGCAATCTTTGAAATGCACACTTGTGTCTTCTCATGGAAGTCGTACATGGTGTATAAATGTGTTTGATCAAACCAGATAAGGCAACGATCTCCAAACTGGTAAGACCCATATGCTGGAGAATTGGAATGGGTGGTAACTCACACAGTTAATTTCTATAATCTGCAGCTGGGAAAGCGGTTATCAGAAGTGAGAGTGTAGAGGTGGGTTAGATGGGCAGTGAGTGTCCTGCTGTTGTTTTGAAGGCACTGGGTAAATTTTATGCTGGCATGGGCTGCTCAAACCAGGGAGATCTGTGGTGATGGAATAACCTTGACTCAGTTTGCATGATCATATTTTGAAGCTATAATAATTTTGGGATATAAAGATGGGGTTGATACCTTCATTTAAGGCAAAATCTTACGCTTATCGTTGCACGCAGTAAAGGCCCTTTCTTTACGTTAGTCATCTGCTTTCTGTTGTACTGTATAAAGAGCAGAAGAAGCTCCACAGGTTTTCCAGTCACATCAATGTCTTGCAGTCACCTGCCAGTGTTCCCTGGATCTGTCACCTAAAAATCATCATCATCATTACTATTAGTATTCTTACAAGACATAGCATTCCTCTTTCCTTAGCTGGATAGAAGGACCACAGAGTTGCTCCACTGTTTAGAGAGGGCCTTTGGGAAAAGATTTGTTGTCCTAGATAGGGATGTGGGAATAAACATTAACCACTATATTAAAAAAAAAAAAAAAGGCATGTAAAGTATTTCAGGCAAATAACATATTTTTTTACCTTTGGCAGGATGTTAGTAGGGGGTATGAACTTTGTCGCTTTTGAATGTTTTTTGTAACAGCTGATGAGGCTGGCCATGTGTGACCAGAGTGTCACTGGTCTCTTTTGTTCCTGCAGAATGTTGTGAAGCTGATGCGGGGACTCTTACAGTGCATGATGAGACAGGTAATGTCATAGTTATGAGTTGAGTTAGTACATGTTGTATTTACGAAGCATTTCATTTGAAGCATGTATTCATTGTGTCTTTTCTGTAGAGTGAGTTTTTTTTGTGTGTGTAGACGTTAGTGTGGGGAGTCTTTTTAAAACTCTTGAGCAAAACTCTTGCTTGCACCTTTTTGAGAGTTTGCTTGTAGCAAATCACAGTTTTGCCTTTACAAGCTGATCTTCACCAAGATACATACCTGTAACCAAGATCTGAACTCAAAAAGGTAATTTCATCTTACTCTTTCCTGAAGAGTTGTAGATTTAGCTGGAGCCTAAAGTTAGGGTTGTGTTCAAGCATTCTGATCAATCAAAACACACGGAAGTGAGGTAACAGGAATTAGGACGTCAAGTTTCTCCTCACCTAAGAAAACTTCTTCATTTTGAAATAGTATGGAGAATTTCTTCCAAAATGTTTCACATTTGAGATTTGTGATGTTTTTTAGGTAGATAAGGTAGAGAAGTTCAAATGCACACAGAGTACCAAAGACTGCCTACATGCCAAGTATAACTCTGCAACTTGTGCCACTGTGGTTGGGGACGACCAATGGGGGCATTTACAAGTGGATGCAACTTCCCTTTACCTTCTCTTCTTGGCACAGATGACCGCATCAGGTAAGCAGAAGATACTTTAGCCTTGACTATTGTTGCAGTCTTTTTCTATTCTAGCTTCTATTTAAAAAGGAAAAAAAAAGTTGTAATTAGCTTAAAAAACCTTTACATAGTTATTACTCAGGAGAAAGTAAGATTTCTCTGGAAAAGTGATGTGGCTTAGTTAAGATTTCATGTTTATAGTAACTGCCCTGGCAGTGTCCATTCCCTTAATGCTTGTTGGCGTACAGCTACATGAGATATTCAGAGTCATGTCAGAGAAGAGTTTTGTGTTTGAAGACTATGTAGGGCATCCTAATGGACAACCAGATTTCTTCAGAGTGGCAACATTGAGTCAGGTGCCACTCGTCCCATTTGTGTTCCTCTTCTTGCTGGCGCTGTTTTATCTTGAGCTCTTCTTGTACTCCTCCTGTGAGGATAAGGATTTGTTACCTTAGATGATTTTCTGTCCTCAGAGCCTAGTGGTCTCTCAGTAGAGCACTAAATGGGTGGAGGGGCGGGGAGCTGTGGGAATTGGGATGCACTGCTCTCAAGAGCCAGAGCTGGCTCAGATGTCTCTGCTTTGTACCCACTGTGTCTGAATGCCACCCTCCCAGGGGTGGATTTTGGTTGGTCTTTGAAACAGTGTGTATTGGAGGCATTTGAAGTATTTTATCACAGCAAGTATTGAGACCTGCTGCCTGATCTTTTGAAATCAGCGTGAGTTTTTCTATTGATTTCAGTGGGCAGTAGTTGGCAGCAAATAAAAGCATGAAACTCACTGAAAAGTAAGTATTTCAGTTCTGATACAGGATAATCACTCTCTTTCCTTCTTTTAATCAGGGTTACGTATTATCTTCACCCTCGATGAAGTTGCCTTTATTCAGAATCTTGTTTTTTACATAGAAGCTGCCTACAAAGTTGCTGTAAGTAGTTATTTATATGTAAATACCTGAACATTGCTCAGATGTGGGTGGAAAATTATTTGTTGATGGAGAAGGAAAATACAGACTTCTTTTTCTATGAGAAGATAACAAACCCTGTCAGTACTTACATTGTGAGCAGCATCTTTGGAGATGGTGGGAGGGCTGTGGAGGATTTACTGCTGCCTGGGTGAGGTATACTTGTTCTATCATAATAACAGTTTTTCTTTGTTGATAATTAATAATATTTTTTGATGTCTCATTAAAATCTTATGGGTCTTTCTAAAAAGAGCTAATTGTTAACAAACCTTTTGGAAAGTGGCAAGTTGAAGGGATACAGAGACCTGATTCTGCTGGGGTATATTTTTATGTGCCACTTTTTAAATATCAGGAGGGGCTCTTTGGAGACTTGGAAGGAGGGGCTCTTTGGAGACTTGGAGCCCTTTTTTTCTTCCTTTTTTCTTTTTTTTAAATTTTGTTAAGGCAAATAAACTAATTTCCTCCAGGGGTCTGGTTTTGTTGTGAGGCAAGGGGAAAAAACACTGGTTTTTGTATATAATCATGCCAGTTTTTTCTTGATGATGTTGTTGCAGGATTATGGAATTTGGGAACGTGGTGACAAGACAAACCAGGGCATCCCTGAACTGAACGCGAGCTCCGTAGGGATGGCCAAAGTGAGAATGTCTTCCTGACACCTCCTTCATGGCTGTTCTGTCACACTGAAGGGCTCTGACAAACCTGATGGCTTCCTTTGCATAGTCTTCTTGGCCACTGCAATAATTAACTGATTGTATAAGAATTTTTGTTTGGGTGTGAGTGAGTATTTTTCAGTGTAAAATCCTTGTGATAATGGCTTTCATTATGGACCTCAGCACCGTTGTTCTGGGGATTGCAAGTAGGGTACCAGATTCATTGAGGCATGAATCTGAAAGATTGAGTGAGGTGCAATCTCATAAAGTGGCCCCTGGTTTTCTGTCCCTCTTTCTTGATTCTCCAGCCCCAGTATTATATATGATGCTTTCATGGTAAGATTAATTCAGATGTAAATTTTGGAAAACAGCAGAATATCAGTCTAAGAAATTATTCACAAGTAATTTAGAAAAATGAGTAAAGATGTACTTAAAAAAAAGTGGCTATTTCTGGTTCCCCCATAGCACAAGGTCACAGAGATAGTAAATGAAGCTCAGAAGGCCATAAGTGTAAATGTGTGATCAACAAGTACCTTTTTACGTAATGTCTGGGGGACTGACAGAAGGTATTGTTCAGGTCAAAGGCGTAGTTGCATTTCGGCAGGATTTATTGGTTGCCAAGATCTTGTGTGGCTGCAGGAGGGAGAAACTGCTGGTCTTGGCCACAGTTCAGTTAATAGCGATGGGGCAGTGTCCATCGGGGAGGTTATTCCAAATTTTTTTGCACTGAACAGCCTGATGCAGGTTGCTGTGGTCTCATGATTCCAGCTATCAGTTCTTCAGTGGAGCTTTCTGCTGCTATTGGGAACATCTGCTGCTCTAGCGCTCAGCTAAAGTGAGGGGCTCTGCAGAGCCAGTAAACACATGTTTGTATTGGAAAAAGAAGAATACCCTTGCCTCTCTGCAGAGAAAACAAGGCAAGCTGCGCTGTGCGATCCTTCCTTTGTCAGAGGTTGACATTACCATGAGCATGCAGGACCAAAATGGGCACGGAGCAACATTCAGTGCTACCACGACCCTGTGAATATGCATTTCAGAGGAAAGCTCTGCTAGCCTGGCTCTGGCCATCTGGTCCTCTCTTCCTGCCATTCCCTGCATGGCACTGCACAGCCTGCTTCCGCGAAGCCAGGTTTTGTGGCTTATAGGTTAAAGTAGGGATGCCCAAATGGAGTCAATGGTTGGGCTGCTAATGTCTTCACTAGACAAACGCGTTATGACCAAGAGGTGTGAGGTGTGGTGATGCACCTGTTGACGCAGAGCATGCTGCGCCTTGGATGGCTGTTCAGAGAGCAGACATCTCATTTTTTTCTTTCCCTCGGGAAGTGGTAGTATCAGAGAGCTGGTGATGCTCTCTTCTCTGGGTGGTGGCCTCTGCTGATTCTGGGCACCTTGAACAAGCCTTCCTCTTTGAATAGCCTTTCAGGCAGGAGGAGTGAAAGGCCACTGAGCGTGAGGGTTGTTTTGGAATATAGGACAGGAGTACTATTAGTACTTTGGATATCATCTCAGTGGAAGCCCTGCTCCCCGTTGCTTTGCATTGCTTTGCATTGCTTTTAAATTGTAAGAAGGGTCACCAGCACATCAGTCCTGTATCCTACTAGTGGAAATACAGAAGTATTTACTTTTTCTAAAATACTGACAAATTTTCCGTTAAAGATGAAAAGATGTCTGTGAAGTAAACTGCTGTCTTATGTAATTTCCTTCAGAGGATAACCACAGGTGCTAGGGTGTATAATTGGCTTAAAAAGTATTTAATGGTTTTGAGTTGTTGTTTGGTTTGGTTTTTTGAAGGCTGCTTTAGAAGCAATTGATGAACTAGATCTTTTTGGAGCTCATGGAGGACACAAATCAGTGATTCATGTTCTTCCCGACGAAGTAGAACATTGTCAGGTAAAACTTAGTCTCTGTTTCCTTTGCTAGGGGAAAACCCAACACCCTCTCCCTTTTGTTTTTCAATTAAATATTGATTAACTGAACCAAGAACTTAATGTAATAAGGATGGTGTCAGACTATGCTGTTTCAGCCTGTTTCTAGTAGATCATGTGAAAGTCAGCGGTGTGAAGCATTCTAATAGTAACTCAGTTCAAAATAATTATGTAGTGAGTTCTCTGTCAGTTTGCAAACAGTATAGTCTATTCCATATGCACTTCACATAGTCTTCTGAAGTAGGTAATTTGTTTACGTACCTCTCTTCTGTTCCTGTTTTCCTCAGTCTATTCTGTACTCCATGTTGCCAAGGGCATCCACGTCAAAGGAGATAGATGCTGGCCTTCTCTCTATTATTTCTTACCCAGCTTTTGCAGTGGAGGATCTAAACCTTGTTAATGAGACCAAGAGTGAAATCATATCCAAATTGCAGGTAAGGAGTTCTTCTATTTTTATTTTCCAGAGAGAAAGAGAAGCAGAACCTCCCTTTCTTAACCAAAAATCTTAATTAAACAAGGGTTGCCAGGCTTGGTGCATCTGTGTGTAGAAGAGACGGAGAAAAATCCCTAAGTGACATTTAAAACTCAGCATATACTTTCATGCTGATGTTAGTCTGTGAGGAAGAACAGTATGTGATGTTTTCTGTAATTTTGTCTGTTTTTACAGGGCCGCTATGGCTGCTGTCGCTTTCTCCGAGATGGTTACAAGACGCCCAGAGAGGTAGTTCTGATGTATATCTTCAGTAGGCATTAGGAAGAATTTTATCTCTTGTTTGTAGACATTTTTTGTCTGAAGGGGAAGTTCTCTATTGCTGTTAAGACATCTTAGTGGGTTTGGAGGTAATCTAGGTATCCACCCTAGAAATGACACATATCTGAATGAGACTAAGGGTTTGAAAACCAATTATTAAGGACAGAACATAATTCATAGTTCTTTAAGGAATGAACCTTTAAATATGCTTATGGTGTCTTAGGGGAAGCGGAGTCTCTGAGGCATCCCAAAATATCTTTGAACTCAGGCAGAGCCAAGTATTTGGGTGACACCTAGATTCTGAGACTGGGAAGGGTTGATTTGTCAGGAGGATGATCAGGTGAGTTTGAGACTGAATGTGAAAAAGAAGTCCAGAGGCTACATGGAAACTATATCCAGTGTTTTTATTGGTTTTCTGGGTTTAATTACTTATTACTTATAAAATAAGCTTCTATTACAATCAGAATATGAGTGACTAATTTAGCACTGTGACTAAATGAACATGATTGAATTTCTAGGATCCGAGCAGGCTGCACTATGATCCTGCTGAGCTGAAGCTCTTTGAGAATATTGAATGTGAGTGGCCGGTATTCTGGACATACTTCCTAATTGATGGAGTATTTAATGAGGACAAAATTCAGGTGAGGAAAGAAGAAATTACTTTCAATGGAAATGCAAAGCCATTTACTCACAGTATTTCATAGCTTTGCTCCATATTTATTTTGGGTATCAGTTGGATAACCCATCAGCAGGATGGGAGTAGTCTTCAGCCAATCTCACCTTCCTGGGGAGTTCGTGACATGGTAGAGGCTGTGGCGTTGTGCACGCTAGGACCTCGTTGCCCTCTTTCTACCAGGTTGAGTGGCTCTGCCAGCTGGTGTGTCAAACTGGGCTGAACGGGGTTTATTTGCCTGGTTTTGTCTTATCACCAATGTTGACGCCCCTTTCCCAATTACTTCAGGATGAGACCACCTTCTTTTTCCCCTGGCTTCTGTGGCTTGGCTGTTGAGAACAAGACTCATAGTACTTTCAGTCCTTTCATACATTCAGGGACATTTGGAGTTGGATAATGAGGAGCCATTTAATTTTCATTAATTCCCTAAGTTACTTCATGCTTTTACTGTGTCAAGCACCCAATGGTCAGGGGAGCTAAATTGATTGTAGCCCTCTGAAGGCTATAGTGGCACCTGGAGAGTATTGGTGAATTAAAGAGCAACAAGAAGCCAGGACTAAATGTATTCATACCGAGACTTCTGTAGATTGGTGGCTTGAAGGAAGTAATAAAATACATGTGATTTAATACTGTCTAGCATGCAGAGGGATAGGAGATTACTAAATATTATCCCTTAAAAAATAAAGTGGCATCAGAAACAAAACAGATAATTTCAGACCAAAAAGCCTTCTTTCACTTAATTTACAACATCGGGTACAGAAATACATCGTGACACAAGAAACGTAAATTGCTTTCTTGAATGCAGTAAAAATAGTCTAGTGGAGAGAGAAATGGCATTATTTCATGATGGGGAAAATCAGAAAGTTTACTGAGACTTTGGTCATGTCAATAAAATACCACTTCACAAAGCAGTCTCTAGAATTTAGTTGGATTATCTGGGATGGTATGTACCTGGCTGCCTTTATGATGTGCAGACGGGCTGTGCTAGGGCATGGTCAGACTGGGCAATTGCTCCCGGTTCCCACCGTTTAAACTTATCTGAATGAGTCACTGAGATGCTGAGGTGAGTGTCTAGTCTTCCCCAATTACTGCTGCAAACAAGCGGCTGCAATGGCAGCAATTAATAAGCACCCTGAGGACTCAAAAAGAGTGGAGAAGGACAGGATAGTGTAAATATCGGTGTACCATAGTATGAACCTTACCTTGTGTGTTTCACTGTACTCAGAAAGGGATAGCAGAAATAGGATTTCAGAGGCAGGTGCTGGTAGTGCTTGAAAACAGCTTCCTGTAAGTAAAAACTTGGAATGGGATAGTTAAGAAATGGAACAAAATAAGGAATCTGGTAAAATTAATATTAAATGTTCTTTATTCTGTATCGGTCTGGTATTCCTGTTCATACTATGTTGTCTAACAGCACAAGAACAAGAGGATTTTCGGTTTAGTTAACTTAGGTATTTTTCAACAGTTTAAAATTTTCCATGGGGCAAATTTTTAAGCAAATTAGTTAAGAGAAACTGATTTCCCAGTCCTGCAAAGCAGAATTTATAAAATCATAGACAGATGTGCATGGTAGAAAACTAACAATGTATACACCTTACACACCTTACACTTTTAGGGATATTGGCAGTCCTGACATCCATTTCACTGCATCATCATCCGTTGGAAATTTCATGTAGGATTTGTTCCAATGACTTCTTGATTGGAATATGTTAGAAGTTTTGTACTGCAGTGGTGTGTTACAGATCAAAGATGTGTGTTCATGTTTCTGAGGCTGATAATATTGAGATGCTGGAACAGAGTCTCTGACTTAATCTTCTATCAGCAAGTCATGATTTCTGCCCCCCCCCCCTTTTTTTTTTAGACAAACTTTTAGCAGAAAAGTACTGTTGGAAAGTAATGAAACTTTATTGTTTCGGTTTTGCTGACTGTAATATTAATTCTCACTCTCTTTTAAAAATATTTCCAGGTTCAAGAGTATAGAGAGGCTCTGGAAGGAATACTTATTAGAGAGAAGAACGGAATAGTGCTAATGCCTGAACTGTACGCAGTCCCTCCAGAAAAGGTATTGTGAAAATGCAGCATCCATTTCAGTATGCAAAATACAGGTATCAAGATGAATGTCAGTTTTATCATTTTCCTGTAGCTGATAAATGTAAACCAGCAATAAAAAAAGACTACTTGCACATTATTTAAAAACTAAGAGACCTTTTGTAGCTGCCACTGAGAAACGGTAAACTTTAGGCTTCCAAATGGTCACATTTTTTGCTTGAGAATCTGAGTGCCAACGGAAATATGCGAGCAGGTCTAAATCTTTAAATCCTCATAGCAAGACGTATATTGAAGAAGTGCTTGTGCTGACTTAGAAACTGAAGCTCAAAGAAAGAAAGAAAGCATGGACTGTCCTGCCTGTCTAGTCTGTTGATTGATTTTCCAGAGCTTGTGTGTGAGAGAGAAACAGGTTTCAGATGGATTAGGGTTTCGGCTAGGATTTTTGCTTGGTTCATTGTTGGGGTTTTTTTCTTTTTCTTTTTTTTTTCTTTTTTATTTTTTTTCTTTCCTCCCCATCTTTGCTGTTACTGTTACCTGATTTTCCCATTGTGACAGAAATTCAAATGAGCTTATGTGGTCTTCCATGCTATTTGTCGTCGTATCCCTCCCCACCAGCTGCTTCTCCTGCTCCAGATTTCTCAGCCCTCACTCACTAAGTGTGTGGAGCCTCCTGGGTTGGTCTGAGTTTGGTCAGGGAGTGTCGGCAGCTGATACCTTGCTCGCAGATCTGAGGCGGAAACTCTGAATTGCCTTCTTGGCGGGAACAAGCGTATAGGAGTTCAGAGCCTTCTTGTGAATTGTGATATGATGATGATCTGATGTACATACCAAATAAACTGGGTAGATTTTGCCTGTCATTTATAAATTTGAAAATGGCTATGGTAAAGATGTTGTCCAGGAGTGTTTTTCCCCCACCCTCAATGGATCTGTATACTGCAAAACCAAGGCAGTTTTTCTGATTTAATGAGAGTCTACTCTTAATTTTTCCTTTGACCATTCTTACTAAGAGAGGGAAGGTGGAATAGCCTTCATTTTTGGAAATCACTTTTACTTCAGGAAGCTAGGTAGACATCAGTGAAGTTCAAGTGTCCTCTTGCAAGGGGTTGTAAAGCAGAAACACAGTTACCTACAAGCTGCCCAGACGGAAGGCAGCAAAGGCATGGTGAGAGGAAAGGGGAAGTGCTAACACCAAAGCTGTAATTGCATGTAGAGTCACCATTCAACCTCCAGCTTAGAAAGGTGGAGCGGTGTATGAAAAGGAAGCGTAGCTCTTGTCCCAGAAAACGTGCAGCCTTAAAAGTAAAACCGAGAGATCTGGATGTCAGTAATAATGGCAGGTTAAAAAGAGTTGATGATAGACCATATTTTTTCAAATACTTTCATGTTATTGATTGTTCTTCACAACTTTAGGGTAATTTTTCTTGCTTATGCATTTGTTTTCAGGTGGATGAGGAGTATGAAAATCCTCACTCAGTGGATCGTGTCCCAGTGGGAAAGTTGCCTCATCTTTGGGGCCAATCATTGTATATCCTTAGCTGCCTATTAGCAGAGGTAATTGTTTCTTGTATAGTCAATGAGCTTGTATTTCATTTTGTTTTGAAATGGCTTGGGCTTTAAGTACAATTTGGATGACAGGTGGGGGACAATGTGTTTTCAAGTAGAAACATGTACATGAACCACAGAGGGGTTACTTGGAGCTTTCAGGAGCTTTTTTTTTTTTTTTTTTTTGATATGCAATTGTCTGTTTCTAATCAAGCTGAATTAAGTTGTCAGATGGGCTGGATATATGGTTAGGCTAGAGGAATACGCCCAGGCTGACTTGGCTATCCCAGAGCTAGGATTTTGCACTGTTTCAGCTCCACTAGGCTATGCCTTGCTCTGTGGCATAAGATGCCTGCGGAGTTGTCCTGTATTAGCTATCGACTTGTTAAAGGAACCACTGAATATCTCTGTGGAGCTACAAAAAAAATAAAAAGTCACTGGCCTGGTGAAATTGTGTCAGTTGCTGCAACTCTAAGACAGGAAATATGGACATGCAGATTGTGTCAGTCATAACCGTTTTCTTCTTGTTCTGAAAAATATCGCAGCCATTGTTTTTATTGAATGTGCTACTTAGTGGATGGGGTAGAGAAACTAGGCTTTTAGTCCTCATGTAGTATCAAAATTGGTTAAGATTTCTTCTAGATGTCATCAGAAGCCTTTGACTTAATTTTTGTTTGTTCCTGTCTTTTTTCTTTCTTTTGCATTTATTCTAGGGATTTCTTGCTGTGGGTGAAATTGATCCCTTAAATAGGAGATTTTCCACTGGATTTAAACCTGATGTTGTGGTACAAGGTGAGGGATCTTTTTGAACGTTCTGGGAGAATTGGATCATGTAATGGTGAAGTCTCTATGTACAGGAAAGAAGACACTTTTGAAAACAATGTGGATTTTTGCATGGGACATGGATGCTTTGGTGTTATTGTGAGAAGGAAGGAGAAAGGAGTTTTTTGCCTAGCTGCCATTTTCCCAGGGGGAACATCAGGTTTAACAAACTTTTAAAAAATACCTGTTAAAATTTTAAGACTGATCAGGGACTGGAGAGTGGCAAACTTAATCTTGTAGTGAAAAGGAAAATCTTGGTGGATCCTAGCAAGAAAGGGCAGGAGACCAGTCAGTTTAGTTCGGTTTCTGTGCAGCCCCTTTTTGGAAGGAACCAGAGAGCAGTGAGTGGGGAGGATCTCTGTACACAGAAGTGAGGCAGCCAGACTTACAGCTATCTTTTGGCTACTGCAGGGGAGCAGCTTCTTTTGTCAATGCAGGAACAGCCAAAACCAGAAAAATTAAGCAGAGGGCAAACATTGGCTGATCAGGACCTAAAGGCTTTTCAAGGGCCTGTACGACTCTGGAAGAGCAACCAGCTCGTTTATCAGGAGCAGCCTTTGTCAATGGTACTGTGACATGGGCAGGTGCTTGTTTAACCCCTGTTGGTGTCTAACGGGGTGGCATTTTGCTATTCTGAAGTGCTTAATTTCTAGTAGAAATATAAATGCTTGCTTATTTTTAGCATCCTTGGACAAGTATTTATAATGCAAAGAATACTACTGAATTGTTAGTCCCCAACCAACAAGCCAGCTAATGGGCAAAACCTCAAGCAGGACAAGAAGATGGATCAAGGCCTGGATTGTGAATTCCTCTGATTTTGGGACGTTTTTTCCTACCTCTACCATTTTATGGCCTCTGTAACATTTATTGCTATACAAGTAGCAGCATCTGTTCCCCATTGACTCAGCTGTGTTGTTACAGTGTGCTCTATTAAAACAATGAAGATTTTCAAATTGGGTTTCCCCTTGTTTTATGGGGGAAAAGCACCATCTGCTGAAAGAGACTGCATGATCCAAACTAGTGGTACTGAAAAAAATGAGAAGAAACTGAAAGCCTCAAAGAACCTGGTCTAACCTC